GCTTAAAAAGTGACAAAACTTTGTTATATTTAATGAAAAAAGATCTAGCCAAATTCGGCTATAATCAGCCCAGATGCGGATAGGTGTAAGTCGTTCGGCCTTTTATAATTATAATCCTTATGGATTGTGATGAAAAAAAAAATATTTTTCTATGTTATCATATTATAGTCATAAAAACCTTTTTATAACAATCCATAAGGATCATAGTTATAAAAAAGATGGTCCTACTTAGAATTTATGGTTGGTTTTGAAGTTTCAAAATTCTTAACGAGGAGTCGAGGTAATTATTCTAAAATCTTGGAGGAAAAACACAAACATTTCACGGTATTTTCCATTCCATCTAACTTTGTAGATCATTTGTTAGTTGTTACATTCTTACAAGTTATTTTAGAAGGTATTTATAAGTTTTTCAATGTGTAATTTAATCAAGAAAAGTTGATATATATGATTCGGTTTGGTTGAAATCAAGCTTTGAATGTAGGGAGACAAGGCAACAAAAGATAAAATTCATTGTTTTCTTTTTGGGTTATATTATATTTAATTACAAATAAAGTAAAAGTAAGGTCAGATATCTCGCTCAACCATCAGATCAAAACCGTTGATTTCATACTTTACAGGAGTTCAGAGTCTAAGACGCGTACGCAGCAGATGAACAAGTCAAGAAGGGTCATAATCAAAGTCAACCACACAGAAATGTAGTGAAAGAAATTAAAGCAACTTTTGAAGAAAGTTGAACGGCCTTTTTCAAAAGAAATTCTGCCGTTATTGTTTGCATGAGCCAATATTCATTTTCAAACATCAAGGGCCCACTATCTTTATGTTTATCTTTATATTTAATCTCTTGTTGCATTTTATCTTTTGTATTGGAACAAAGCTAACTACCCTTTCATCACGAATTATATTAGATATTTGGATTACAGTAATAGCTTTCACATTAGACCGGCACCAAAAAACTAACAGACCCAGTGGAATACAAAGTTAAAATATCAAAAGCCAAAAAAGATTGAAGTAACCCGTTTTTGAATCAAAAGAAACGTTCCTATTTATATCAAAGCACGATCGTTAGTCAGTAATAAATAATAAGAAACAAATCCATTTTAAAAGAAACCCAAGACAAGAAAATAATTTTAATTAAGGAGTGAGTTAATTAAGGAGTTTAGAATTAATTAACAAAACTCCTTAATTCTAAACTAGATGATCACTAATATTAATTTTTATAAACTCATTAATTCTTAGTTTGTAAGTCATTAATCATAATCCCCATCTCACTCACTCTCTATATATGATCTCGACTATTTAATTTGATAAGTGAAAAAATATATTCTCTAAACCTACCTAACTCATCAATATATCTATTAATTAAAACTATGCTACAAATTCAACCATATATTTATATCTAAAGAATAAATGTGTGTGCATTTATTCAAACCCCAAATCTTTGAGAATATATCTTAATTAAAGAGATAAATCTGATTGATCAATCTAGATATGGTCAAATGTTTTTCAACTTGAACGATTAAATATTGGGAGATCATTCAAGTTGTGTTCAATCACCATATGAATTTGAGATGGGGTTGGTGGGACATGCACGTGTTCAATTCAATCTCATAATTTAAGGAGGATGCGTGTGAATCAAGTAAATACAAACAAAGAGATCTTATATGTTCGATCAAATATAACTTCATCAAATGCTCTTATTGTTCCCTAACATTAATCAATTATACCTCTCATCACTGCGGGCTTCAATTTTTTTGGTTCTTTCTAGATTTGTTGGTGCAAATGTTCTTGGCATCACATCATTAAGGAATAATTGAAGCATAAATCAAAACAAAGGACCTAAATTTAATAATAGCTTAAAAAGTGACAAAACTTTGTTGTATTTAATTAATTAAAAATTAATTAAAGACTGCTGATTTGGTAATTAATGAAGTGATGGTGATGGTATAATATTATACCATCACATGCAGTAATGTTTACAGTTGCTGACATGACAAATCAAATACCACCATTTTCATTACTCCAGTCTCACCGGCTATAGCAATACGACAAGTAGGCTTTTTATTGAAAGTAATGTTATATTTACATTACCTTTACATTATTTTTACGGTATTATGATTATTTTATTAATAATAATTTTATTATAATATTAAAAATTTAAAATAATTAAAAATTTATATAATTGTGATATATGTCACATCATAATATAATGAAAATAGTGTAATAAGTGGTATAAATGTAGCATTACTTTCAACAATTCGTCTTAATAATCTAGTGCTCTTATCTGTTAATAGCATTTTACGAATTATTAAATTGTGGATGTAGATTTGACTAACACCTACCTTCCATAATCAGATATTCTAAAGTCCTTTCGTTGCTTAATTAATTCTTGCTGCTGAGAATTTAAAATAATTGAAAGCAGTTCTACCTCACAACAAATACTTTTACTTGATATATAGATCTTTAAACTTAAATTTTTGAATCCACTTAACAAGAGGCAATTAATATGATTTCTAATAGTGACATGAAATATGGATTTACAAAGAATATTAATCAAAACCAAAAGGTAGAATGCTGTCACATGGCTGTCCTCGTTCCGGTGCCATAATTACATGTCTTCCCACCCTGGCCCAATTTCATGATAAATTTCTACGTTGCAATCTGAAAATACCTCCTTTTTCATCACTCTGACGACAGCAGTGCAAGTACGAGTACGATAACCGACTATTCACAACAAATATTTTGGGCGAACGATTTGTACATACTTAAAGTTTACTGTAATGACAAATTGATACTCAAAAGGTTTTGAAACGACAAATAGGTACCTTCCGTCATATTCTATTAGTGATTTTTGTTTATTAATAGTAAAAAGACTAAAATGCCATTCAAAGTTTCAATTTTTGTTTTTTATAAATTTAAAAATTTTTAAAAAACCCCCTAGGTTTGCTAATTTAATTAAACACCCCCATATATAAAATATTTGTTAAATGACAAAAACACCCCCACCACCCCCAATGCCAGATTCCGGCCACCATCGTCGGAATCTGGCCGAAAAACTGTATTACGACACAGATCCGTCGGATCTGTGTCGTAACGTGCCGATCTTTCCTTTTCCGGTCAGATCCGCCACGGATCTTGCCGGAAAAGGCAAGATCTGGCCGTCGAAGCAGCAGCCAGATCTGGCCTTTTCCGGCCAGATCCGTGGCTGATCTGGCCGGAAAAGGCCAGATCTACNTTATTTTATTTCTTTAACTACTGTAATGTCGTCAACTAATCAGCGTTGATGTTGCGCAAACCCACTGATAAGGCGTCGCCACGTGTCAAAACCGCCCTTTCACCGCCACCGTACGTTTACACCGGATTTTGTTTCAGAATTTTTCTCCCATAATAAATACAAAGTTTCGTTAATTTCTTCGAATAAGTACTGTTTTTTTCTCAGCAACCAAACAAAAGATAAACTCTTGGTTTGCTTTTCACCTGAAAAGCTCATAAATTTCTTCGTGGAGCTGATGGTAATGATCTTTAATCTCGTGGTTTGTTTTCTTATTTTGTTTTGTTGGCTTATAGAAAATTTTCCCAGAAACCAAACAGAAAATTATAAGCTTTTGCTTTGCCTACCTTTACGTATATTCTTTTAAAGATTTTCTCTTTCGTGTAATCCGAATTCCATTGCCTCCCAATTTACAGTGGTACTGCATAATATAGAACCACATGTAAAAACCCCAACTTGCGCTAATGAGATTCCAGGGGGCAAAATAATGTAAGAATCTTGGATCCATGATGACAAAACAAATTTATAAAAGAAGCAAATCCTTTATGTATAGAACAAAAACCTTATATTTCAAGGTAAAACATCAAAATAAAAACATTTTTGATGGGAGACACACACACACACAATAAGAACAACCCATCAACACTTAAAAAAGATGGTCACTGCACAGAAACATCAGTTTCATGTCCAGCAGAAACCAGAGGCTGTGATTCGGCTACCTCATTGCTAAACACCTTAGCAATCCTCTTGGTAGGAACCAACGGCAAATAAGTAGACACTCTGTATCCCTTCTCTGCGGTGCTAAGCACCGTTTCGTTGTACTTCTCGGAACAATAGGCAGCAGTGGGCACGAAAACTTGGGCCACTTGAGGGAAGAGTGGGAGCTGGTTGAGTTTGCGCCAAGTTGACACAGCGCATTGCTCGGCTTTTGGCTCGTACTTGGAGTAGAGCTCCTTGGCTTTTGGCTCGTACCTCTGTTTTAAAAACCGGACCGGCCGGTCGGACCGGTTGGACCGTGAACCGGTAGCTTCTCCGGTCCGGTTTAGGTCTTAGGGGGGTTTTTGAAATATTTTAAAATTATGAGGGTTACTTTGTAATTTTATAGGAGTATTTTGAATATATATCAAAAGTTTAAGGATTAATTGGTAATTTTATTGGTGTATTTTTGGAATAAATAAAAATTTTAGGGACTAATTTGAACTTTTTTAGGAGAATTTTTGTAATATATTAAGATTTAAGGGGTTAATATATAATTTTTTTAAAAATAAAATATTGCTGACGTCACCGGTCCAATCGACCGGTCCAACCGGTTGAACCGATTGAACCGTGACCCGGACAGCAAAACGGTTTACCCTCCGGTCCGGGTTTTAAAACAATGGCTCGTACTTGGAGTAGAGCTCCTTGGCTGTTGGCTCGTACATACGTTTAATTACGTAGATTCTTTTAAAGATTTTCTTTTTCGTGTAAATATCCACAGCAATAGTGCAGTATGGTTTGACGGTATGTTTTCACCTTATTCAGATGGTAAAGGAATAATCCTAATTCCTTTGCCTCCCAATTTACAGTGGTATTGCATAATATAGAACCACATGTAAAAACCCCAACTTGTGCTAATGAGATTCCAAGGGGCAAAATAATGTAAGAATCTTGGATCCCTGATGACAAAACAAATTTATAAAAGAAGCAAATCCATTATGTATAGAATTCATAAGAACAAAAACCTTATATTTCATCAAAATCTATTACTTTGATAAATATAAAAACATTTTTGATGGGAGACACACACACACAAAATAAGAACAACCCATCAACACTTAAAAAAGATGGTCACTGCACAGAAACATCCGTTTCATGTCCAGCAGAAACCAGAGGCTGTGATCCAGCTACCTCATTGCTAAACACCTTAGCAATCCTCTTGGTAGGAACCAACGGCAAATAAGTAGACACTCTGTATCCCTTCTCTGCGGTGCTAAGCACCGTTTCGTTGTACTTCTCGGAACAATAGGCAGCAGTGGGCACGAAAACTTGGGCCACTTGAGGGAAGAGTGGGAGCTGGTTGAGTTTGCGCCAAGTTGACACAGCGCATTGCTCGGCTTTTGGCTCGTACTTGGAGTAGAGCTCCTTGGCTGTTGGCTCGTACTTGGTGTAAACAGATTTTGCGATTCCTGAGGCTGTGTCCACCACGCCAGCTCGTTTCACTTCAGAAGCCACCGATCGAGCCACCACTGGAGCCTGTTGAGCTGCAGAGAGAGCCTGAGCAGGAACTTGCTTGAGGACTGGAGGCACATGGGTGTCAATCTTGGTCACCGACTCATCAACCTGCAACCATGTGAATTAAGTTATCAATATCTCCTTCACAGAGGACACTTTCATATCAAAATTAGCCCCAGAAAAGAAGCATCATGTTTGTCAGCAAAATGAAAATTTAAAACTGAGCAAATTTATCATGTGCCGATTTCATAACAATTGCCATTTCATTGATCCTCTATAATTGAACTATTTGATAATAAGAACCTTAGAATTTGATTAAGTTTCACTTCACAAACAATTCTATAGATAAGAAATCATATCCATGGGCATAACTCTTCCAAAATGTTAATCAAACAATGACAAATAAGACGTTAAGACCTCAAACTTAACGCCATACAAACTAAACAAGGCTATCAACAAACGACTGAATATAAAATTAATCAAATCCAATGCAACAAAAAGACTTACCTTGCGATCAACATACTTGAGAAGCTCCATTGGGACGACATGGAACTTGTCATAAACAGGTCCAACCACGTTCTTAACCGTTCCCTCAACAGTCTCCACACCGGGTTTCAATGGCCCGGATTTCTCCTTCGCATACACATAGAGGTTTGTGAAGCACATCAATACATGCAGCGTAGCCACTTGCACGAACTCCAAATATTTCAGCTTCTGCTGCTCCTCAGCGGTCTTCAAAAACATATCAATTACATAAATCCAAAGTCAGCTTCAAAGAAATCATTCAAAAAACTCCAAAGAACCAACAAACCAAAAAGGCTAACTAATGGTTCAAATTCTCTGTTTTGTTTTGGGGAGAACGTTATACAAGCCAATAAACAAATATAATCACTAAAAGCTACAAAAATTCCTATATAGGAGTTCTATTTTTGGATTTCTCAAGAAACTATCAACTAATTGCGTGTTTATACAAGTAAAATTTCTAATAATCTGTTTGATTCCAGTGAAAATTTATACAACAAAATAAACAAAGTACAACACAAAACAGAAGATTATATTAGGCAAAACAAAGCTTATATTTTTCTGTTTGGCTTGTATGAAAATTCAATACAGGAAGTAAACTTTTTGTTTTTTCGTTTCACAAAAAATTTATGAACTTTTCTCGAGAAGGGCAAAGCAAAGCTTATAATTTTCTGTTTGGTTTCCGGGAAAATTTTCTATAAGCAACGAAAACAAACCACGAAATTAAAGATCATTCCACGAAGAAATTTATGAGCTTCTCAGGTAAAAAGCAAATCAAGAGTTTATCTTTCTGTTTGGTTATGAGAAAACTTCATACAAAAAATCAAAACAAACAGATACTCAAGAATGAAAAAATAACTAGTTTTGACATAGAAATTAACGAACTTCGTGTTGTCAACAAAACCAAAACTCAAAACTTTCTGTTTGGTTTCCGGGAAAACTTCGTACCATCAAACAAAACAAACAAGAAATCAATTTCAGAAAGCGGCCATAGAACTCGAAACATGATAGAAAAAACACATGATTATTTCTCTATACTTTCACATCATAATTTACGAACTTTGTGGAATCAACCAAACCAAAACTCATAACTTTCTGTTTGGTTCCTAAGAAAACTTTAAAATAAATCAAACAAAACAAACAAGAACCCAATTTTAGACACCGATCGCAGAACTTGAAACACGAAACCGAAAAACCCCTGATCACTCACCATGGCTGGTTGCGCATCAATGTTGTCTTGTGCCATTTCAGAAACGACGTCGTAAAATAATAGATGCTGATGGGTTTCTGGATATTAATGAAGCGTTGTATTTATAGGAGAAAAATTCTGATGGGTTTCTGGATATTATCGAAACTTTGTATTTATAGGAGAAAAATTCTGAAACGAAATCGGGTGTAAACGTACGGTGGCAAGCGGTTTTGACACGTGGCGGCGCGTTATCGGTGGGGTTTGCGCGACATCAACGCTGAATGCTGATTCGTTGACGACTTAGACGTTAAGTATACTTGTATGTGAAGTATTACAATAATTCAATAATAATAATTGAAGAAATTGGGATAAGTTTTGTAGAAATAAAATAAAATTAATCAGAAGAAAATCCCCCTGTTTTTTCTGATTTTTCAGCCCGTAATACATCTCGATTATGAAAGAATCAAGTTTTTTGGAGCGTTTTATTCACCGTCTAAAGTTAGGTAAATAGCAAGCTGAAACATCTCGAAAATTTATAATCAAAATAAGTAAAAAAGTTATATAACCCTTATTCTCCCGTTTTTTCGATTTTTTGGCCCGTCGTGGCTCTTAGTTACGGGTGAATTATGGAGTTATTTTTAGCCTTTTATTTTTTTTTTTTTACCCTCTCGCCTCCCTATTCCAGTTTATATTCCAGCTTTCTCTTCTTGTTTCGGATTCTTATTTCTATTTTAGTTCCTATAATTATTTGCATTCCCATTATCATTCCGGTTTTCATTCCCGCTCACACTCCATTTTAGTTCTCGTTCCCATTCCTGTTAAATTTTTATATGATGTGATTAAAAATGCATCAAACTCTTTATATAAACCAAGGGGTACAAAAAAATTAAAATAAATTATACTATGATATAATATTAGTGGCATATTAATTTTCCTAATATATTTTGTTAATTATAACATTAATCTTATTTAAACTCTTTGTCATAAAATTATAGCATATGAATGCAGAAGTATCAAGATTAATCTTTGAATATGGGCCCTGCAACTTGATTTCAAGCCCAATTCCGATTAGAATGGGTGGCGTAGGTAAAAATTAGGCTGGTGGCAAATGGCCTATGGCCTTTCTATTGTGAGCCATAAGGCCCACAATATACTCTCATTGACCTTCATCGATGAGTAATGTTTGAAAAAAAATTCGAAACATAAAAATTTACGATAAAAAGAACGTATATGTATTCATCCAATAAACGTATGTCACATTAGTATATGTAACGAACGTAAAGATTTGTTTTGTGATTGAGTTTGTGCACGTAAATATATTATTAATATTTTATGATATATTAAAAGCATTTAATTTTCCTTTTTACCTAAAAAAAAAAAGCATTTATATTCTCTTCATAGCTTTTCTCTTAAGCACCCAAGAAGCATATGATAAAATAATAATTATAAAATGTAATTACTAATCTTAGTTGGAATGGTGGTTGAACAACGTTAATCTTCATTTGTCTTTTGTGATCTTTTAGGTGAAGGGGATTAATATACAAGGAGTAGGTCCATATTAATAAAATAATTTATATTTTGCACAAAATTCCACATCTACCTTTCCACTATTTATTCTTCATTTTACTAATAACCCAACTTAGAAGTGAGGTGTCAAGATCAGTTTACATGCACCTTTGACTAATTCTCAAAAGAAATAATTAATTTTCTTAATAAATTTATTGAAATACCTAAAAATTATTCATAAATATTTTTTTTTCCATTAATAGGCTAATTATCAACAAATGGGTACTATTTTTTTACCTAAAATTTTCTAAATTTCTTATCATGTACTTCCGCAAGGACCCACTTTCTATCATTTCAAGAGGAGAGTAAAAGAGAAATTAATTAAACATTCAAGCTTTTTTTTTTTTTTTTTTTCACAAAAGAAGGAAAAGATTGTGGCATAGAGCAAAGGCAAAGGCAAGATCTTGGAGGGTCCTTTGCATAAATAAACTAATTAAACCTTGATGTTGGTTAAAGAGTGAAGAGGGTCCATGGGGTTTGGCTTTTAATTTGATTTATGTTAAATGTCATGATAGGGTGTAAATGCAATGAAATGGACCCATCATTAGCAACCAATATGCCACCTTTAGATTTTAAAACCAAAAGGATCTGGTAATGTGAGCTTCAATAACTTTTGAAACCCTATTTCTTCATTCATAGCTTTGAATGTTTCAATCAATCATTCACTTTCATGTGAGGGAATTTAATATATGGTGGAAAATCAAATGGATGAAAGCTCCCACTCCCACTCCCACACCAACTTTTGATTTTGATTTGTTACCCTCTATTAAAATTCAATTAGTAATACAATTGTAATACCATTTACGATACAAAAGTTTTCAATTCACTAATTATCAGTTATTATAATTGTAAACTAAAGATGGACGAAAACGACACAATCCAGAAACGACATAAATTTATTGAATTAGGGTTTAACGAAAAAAAACCCACCATTTATTTATTATTGGTTGGTTATATATGCATCCACCGCATAAAATATTGACGTAGTATCTTCCGGTATGTCAAAAATTTGTAAAGAATACATGGTGGATAGGATCAAATACACATCCACAAGCTAATAATGTCTTAACTTCATCAAGAAACCATAAGATTTGGTTCCTTCTCTTCTTGAAGAAAAGCACATTTCCCATGTAGTTGAGTTAGTCAAAAGAAAGGAGAAAAATGAGAATGAGAATATGACAATTGGAACCCCACTTTACATGTATTTCCATGAAGAAATTTGAATGAATTATTCTTTCCCCCTTTTTGCCTCAAAAGGACAAATGATACTCTCAATTATTAATGGGATTTGTTTGCTTTGATCATCAACTTTTAAATAGTATTTTTCATAGTACAAATAAATGAAATAATGTCTTTCATTGATCCACTTTTAGGTACATGACAACTCAAACACTTCACATTTTTTTACTATTGTTTTCACATTCTTGCTTTTTCCCTTTACCAATAAGGATTTTTTCTTTAAGAAAATCTAACCCATTAGACCAAATAATGCATTGGATTCAAAATTGGAGAACCCACAAACAAGAATTAGGTTAAATTTTTTAATGAAATAATAATAAAATACCAAAGAAAAAAAAAAACACACGCAAAATGGGATTTATTGATTTATGTATAACTAATTTACAAAATAAACCATGAATATTCATAAATGTTAGAGCCAAACCATGGATCTCTCTTCCTACAACAATAAACAAAAATTAAAGAAAAAATCATGGGGAAAAAAAAAAGAAAAAGAAAAATCAGAATTAATATCTTTTACATCAGACATCCAAATATAATCATAATATTACACAATGATACCAATATTTTTTTTTTCCAATAACATAAAGGCCCTTCCACCTTCCAAGTATAACAATCACAACCCCATTTCATAAAAACCCCCCAAAAAAAAAAAAATTTTAAAAAAACAAGAAACTCAACTCCTGCACCGTGAAATGGAGCTGCAGCCACGGCTGTAAGGGTTAGCCTGGCCGCCATTTTGGCAGTTGTAGTAGGAGGCGCCGCGCCGTGAGCAGGGCACAGTGTTCCTCTGCAGCGCACCGTAGCTGATGTAGTTGCTGGTGGCTAAAATGCGCCTGTTGATCTCTGAGTCCATTTCGAACTCGCCCTCTTCGCCCACCAACGATGATCCGGCGGTGGGTAGCCACCCCAGATTGAGCTGGTGATCCCCGCTGGCATCGACGGTGGACAATGGGTTCATCATGAAGATCATAATCATAGAAGAAACCGCAAGAAGAAGTGTACGTGAAGTGAGCAAGTTCGCCATTTTCTTCAACCTCCCTCTTCTTCTTCTTCTGGTTGCTCTGTATTGTGATTTATTCTTTTCTTTCTCTTTCGATTTGATTTTGTGTAGAGAGTTGGTTTAATTTGAAGACAGAGCAGTATGGCCTAGCGGGGACTTATAAATGGGCTTCCAGAGCAATTTGACCTTAGTCTTGAGTTTTATTACAAGAATGCCATTTTTGGAGGGCTTGAAAATTGAAATATCGAGTTTGTGGAGGACCACTCATCTTACTAGAAAGATTGAAAATTTCGGATTTTTTTAAGTTTTTATTGACTTGTGATTAATAAAGAAAATTAGAAGTCATTGTCTAATTTTCTTTCTATATTGTATCAATATAATTATTTATTTTTCGAGTTTGATCTTAGATCACCTTGATTTTCCTCCAAAATTGTATTGTAAGAAAACCAATGTCGCAAAGGGATAGGAGCTTTACCAAAACTAACGAGTAAAAAACCTAAAACTGAAAGCGATTTTAGAAACCAATTACACTTGGGTAAAAAATCTCAATATCGTATTCGTTTAGAAGAAAAACAAAAATTACCTTTTTATTATGATCTTACAGTATGACAATTATTGTAAGAAAAGCTAAAGAGTCAACCGATCTGGTTTTATTACAATTACTTAAAATACGATTGGATAACACGCTTCTTCAATTGGGTATGACTTCAACTACTCCTCAAACCCGCAAATTAGTTAACTTTAGTTAATAGCCAATATAATTGATATACCAAGTTATTGTTGCAAACCTCAAGATATCAAAATTAATTCCAAATTATCTTGATTCACCCTACCAGGAGGAATTTAGGAATCAAGAGTACAAATCTATCCCCTTTTACTTTACCCAAAATGAGGAGGTCAATTCAATTCATTACTTTTTATGATTATAAAAAAGATGACACGACATTAATAGAACATTGAAAACATTAATTCCATGTGTGTTCATATTCATTCTAGAAGTATTGTCATGGATTTCTGTCATGCAACAACAGCAAACCCAAAAAGAAACTTCCCTCTACTCACCTAAAGCAGAAAGAAGCTCATATTGTCACTAGGGTTGTTAGCTGCAAATTTTTGCTTTCGACTTTTGAAGAAAGAATGTGTTTATCGTAAAAATTGTGAGAGGGCAAGGACAAGACCCACCACAAATAGTGGCAACCAGGTAAATAAGGTGAAAATGAAGGGTAGAATTGTAAGTGTAGTTTTGGTACATTAGTTGACTAGTTATGTATCACTAACTCTTTCTCTGACATAGTTGGTATAAGAAAATGAGAAAACAATAAGAAAAATAAAATAAAGTTTAAAATGAGAAAGAA